CCCTTTAGTTGACTTCGGGCTTCACAGAGGGGAGAAGGAATATCAAAATGAGAAGAATTCGAGTGGGAGAACAGAAGAGTGATTCACAACAGACAGACACCAAGGCTCAGAAAGGGTAAGATGAGTACTGTGGAAGGGGTCGAATATGACATACAGTGGGGTCATGGTAGTTTGAAGTCAGAAGTCAACTGCCGATTGATAGACTTTTTGCCGTATGATTATACGTTTCCAAGGGTGCACCAATTGGAGGTAAGTCTATCTCACACCCCAATTTCACGAGACTAAGTTGGCATAAAGCTTTGAAAAAATATACTACTGATTTGAAATAAACAACACTTCAGTGTCATTGCGAATTTAGATCTGGAAACTTATCAGATTCTAGGCTTGTGCTGGAAGTGTGACAGGGTGGCATTACAAAAGGAAAAATTAAAGAAATACAACTGAAGGTGTGCCAGTCTAACTAACTGAATGCTAACATCTAAACTACATAACTACTTTGAAGTCTACAGTAGGGCTTTTGAAGTTAATTTATTTCTTGCTTAATAAAAATCAACGAACCAATCGGTAAGAGATTTTACAGTGATATCTACTATACTAAAAGTAGAATTATGGAATTTCACCGATTAACTCACCACAGAGAGCATTTCGAATCGGTGAACAATCCAAGTAGTCCACCGACACGTGTTTCTTTATTCCAAGGGGAATTTTGACGCTAACTTTTCCCAGATTCCCCAAATCCTTTGGTCTTAGTCCGACAAAAGCAGTGAAGGGTGAGATGACGCTGGACTCAATTGATAAGTTGACAACTAGTTCACGATCTTCATCACTTCCAGATGCGTAGTAGTGGTCGAGTAATTCGAGAAGTTGAAGACTAGCTGCATAGCGATGAAGGAGGCAAGAGGGTGGTGTGACATCCGACTGAGTTATTTGGGCCTTAATTGACATCGGTTTGCCGTTTAATTTGAAGGAAAGTGTCACTTCACCCCCAAGAGGCTCTAGGGAAATAAAATGACAAAAAAAGATATTCCAATATCTTTCACTTTCATTATGAAGAACCAAGCAAAATTGTTTCGTCATTATTTACCACCTTGGTTCTTAATTATATCATTTCAGTCTACTTATTTGAAAATTGATATATTGCTTCACAGGAACATGGACAAAGCTGCTTTTTTTGCTTAGCATCAGAATGCACGCAGATCACATGACAATCATGTAGCAGAAGAGCGCAAAAGAATATTGCGCATAACTGACCCCAGACGCAAGTGGCATTTGGGAATTTCACCCTCAGTAAAGGATTTATTTCATCTTTGGCCAGATGCACACCAGCAATTAAATGATGGAACAAAAAAAAGAAGTCACCAGTGTGGTAGCGAAAAGGTCGAGAACAGAGTGACAAGGGGCCGAACCGATTACCTTCGATGGGTGAATTGATTGCTTACTAGCAATAGGTTTATCGATTACTATTCTTTCATGATTAGTACTTGAAACTTGGAAGCACTGAATTTCCGACTCTCTGGTGATTGACTCGGGATCAACAATAATGAGGAACACTAGTGTCTGAATTTTGGCTTATATAGGTCATATAAAGCCATACAAGTTTGGCTGTAATGTCAATGAAGACGTCTTATTCGGCGTGAGATTTTTCAAAGGTTATTTCGAGAAAGCAACAGCATGTGCACATGAACTGAGACGAGTCATTTGCACGAATTCCTTTAGACCAACCCCCCCCCCCTTTAAGGAACTATTTCACCCTCTCCTGCTACATGAGTCTGCGCGTGACCCGGGTCACACCGCGTGACACATTACAAATAAATGGAAGAGGTTATAGCGGTGACACTGAAACCTTCCTGACCAACTGATCACCCTGAATGGACATTTAGATATACCTGCCCCCATTTTACATGAGACTAGTAAACAAAATGTTCGTCACATACCAACTTACATTAAATTTCCTTAAAATGAGATCAGTAAAACATACTAAATTCGGTGCATTTATTGTTTAAAATAACACCAGTTTTAATGACGAGGCCATCATGAATTAATAGAAGAGAATTTTTAGGAATTTAATTAAACAACAAAACTACGCCGGTCATTTAGCTCGCTTTTCTTCTTCTTCATTTTAAATTAATGTGGAACTCGTAGGAAAGTAAAGCAAAAAATATTTCAATATTTCATGTCACCTTTTCCTAGTGGAACAAAGGCCGCAAAAGTGGTGAATGTATTGGAGAAAACAGGTGGTAAGCAGGAGGGAACTTGCAGAACTGAGGGGACAGGTTTCGAGTCCCGTGTGAGACACCAATCCACACTCACATCTGTAAGCCAAGGTTGGAGGCAACAATTAAGGACGTCTAACACGGCCTCGCGTAAATTGCCCCTAAAAATTTAAATTTATTGAATAAATTAAGCCATCAGCTATTCCTACCAATCTGTCTGCATTTCTATTGCACCCTAAGTATCATGGAAAAAAGTTAATTTTGCAAGATTAGAGGGGTATTCTGTGACGATGAAAATTAGGGATTCAGAGGAGAGAGGTGCGTAGAAAATAGCTCAAAAGTAAGCCCGTTTCAGAGTCGAAATAAATTAGTGGAACTTAAAAAAGAATGCTTAATGATGGGGTAATTATAGGCAATACCAGTGGGTTTTTTTCCCGCAATAGGAAAACATGTAGGCTAAGAAGTCCCGATCAGGTCAAAGAGAATGACTCATGGTCGAATAAATTACACAAATAAGAAGATAGCGTCGTGACCTGGTTATGACATCTGCTCTGGGTTTAAATTACACAAAAGTAGTGCGAATACATTTCAATCCCTGTATAACGATCGATTTACGCTTATTATTTCGGTAAATGGAGTAAATTGTTCATAAATTCACAAACAGTCTGAAAGTACTTCAATAATTTCCTAACAAAAACTGAAACAAACATTTTCGGACGAATGAAATTTATTTGTTTTTGAATGAAGACAAAAACAAAATCAAAAAATACAAAGGCGTTGCATCATTTTTTTACACAAAATGATCGATTTAGACAAAATTCGACAATTCAGTCCCAATTCCTTTATGAAGCTAAGCTCAGAATGGCTTGTAAAGATATTGTAGACAGCCAATCAGGAAGCAGACCCGGTGCGTGTTAGTCGAGTAAATGGCTATGTGGTTTTTCAAGCCATTTGCAGTTCAAGCTATATCTCTCTTTTACTGAAAAGTTAGCCCTTCACCACAAACCCCTTCGACTTCCTCTAGGAGTACGAGGAGTAGTGAACTCCAGGATTTGCTGAGCTCAGAATATTGGAAAGGGGTTCCACTCCCGTGCGCAAAAGATGAAGAGGGTTATAAATTAGCACACACACAAAAAAAACACAATGAGACAACAGAATGATGCAGCCAACATGATTTTAACAAAGTAGAATTTAAGACATATTTTCTACTGTTGAAATACAATATGCCAATGCCTTGGATAAAGAGAACTCAAGTTCAAGATACTCATGAAATCTGAGTTCTACTCCATAATTCCTTCTTTCCACAAGACAGGCCGAAGAATTTCGTTTCAATGGTGAGTCATCGCTAGACCGGTAAGGAACAATTAGAATCTAGAGCAATTGAGAAAAAAAGTCAGTGTTTTGGATCCAAGTTGTGCAGTTTATAATTTATAATTTAAAGCTCTAACCTCAAAACTACAATTATTTTCCCTAAGTGTCCCTCATTTCCAGAGCCTCTTGGCAGTTTGATTGATTGGAAAATTCAAAAAAAATATACATATATTTTTCCAGCAGTCAAGATATGGGCAGAATTTTGACGGCTCGGTAGAGTTTATTCAAAATGAAATCTAATATTCAAAAGTTCCTCTATTTTCTTTTAAAGAGGACTTTAAAGGAGTAAAGTTAAAAAGAACAGATGGACCAAGAAAACAACAAATCGATAGCGACCTACTCATCTCGAACAAAGAGTGCTCGTCCATTTCCAGCTCTTGCAGCGCCAGAAACCAAAGCAGTACTTGCGCCATGACCGAAACCGATTGCAGAGAGTCGAGTATGCTTCGAATTTTCATGGATTAAAGTGAGGATCTAAATAAGGAAAACAGGGCATTGACAATCGGGGAATGGTAATAATTCCGTTACAGAACAGTCATCCAATTGTCTCGTGCTTCACTTCCAATAAAAACCAATCTGACAAGACCATTTATCCCATAACAGTGTCTACGATCATAAGCACAGGTGGATAAGTTTGGTAACAATTGAGATCCTGTCTTTTTACAACTGCTTCGATGCCTCTCTTTGCTAGCTGAAACTAGGAAGACCACAGGCGAACTCAAGGGAGAGGAACCATGACTCAAAACAGTGCTTTTTTCCATAAATAATAAAAAGGCTGCCTTATAAAGACTGGATATGCAATAAATGGTTGGTTGCCTGGTGAAAGTTTCTTCCGCGTTTTTCTTCTATATTAGGGTGGTGAATTCACTTATCGACAATGCAGCATCATATGTGAACGACAAAGATTGTGAGCTCCCCTCAAAATGTAACGAAGAGGTTCGATTAGGTTTCCTAACACTTATGATCAAATAATTGGGTGTGCGATAGACTTACCTCCACGTGGTGCACCCTGG